CTCTGTTGCTGGAACGGAAGGGGCTCCTTTCGAGGACGTCGCAGTCGCTAGTGGTTTCTTCTCCGTGCCATCGTCGTCGGCGTTGGGTGTCCGGACCTCGCCTGGTCCTTTTACAGTGAAAGTATCGTCCGAGAACTCCCATCGGAGCGTTGCAGTTTGTCATAGTCTGGTGCCGGGGGCTCCTGGAACGTGCCTTCGCGTAAGGCCTTCGCCTCTTCCTCGGGCTGGACGATTCTCGCATAGTTTCAAAGGCGATCCTACGGCCACGCTTCTCCAGACCACCACGGTTGACTTTTGCGGTGAGAGACGATATCGTGCAACACCGGAGCTAAATCCCGATCGTTTAGCCGACGTTCCGCCTTAGCGTTGCTCTGGACCAGAGCCCCGAGATTTACCAGCATCGAAATCAGGTTAGGAAACCCTCCTTCGCCTAGGTGGAACGGTTGAAGCGCAATCTTCGTTTCCCCGACGTAAGCCTCAGATCTCGACGCCGCAGCTCGCGAAGATTCTCGATACCCAGACCGTAGTACGGTTTCGGGTCACTAGATTTCCGCCCAGGATGACCTCCCATCCACATGAGCCGACGATTGCTAGTGCAGGCCTCAAACTGACGTAGGAAGCTGTAATATCCTGAAGTCTGGATGCACCAACTGAGGCACTTGATCCTGTCGATATGCGCTTGCATCTTGAGCTTTCGGTGGACGCTTAGGAGCTGTTGCGACGGGTAGGGGATGTACAACTGCCAATCGAAGAACGCTTGGCGGAACTTCAACCACCAACGCCAGTGTTCAACGTGGATATGTATGAAGGAGACCTGGTCATGCCACACTTTAGAATCGGCCCACGGATAAGCCAACGCGTTCACGCTGACACCTCTCAGGGCAGCCTCCTTGAAAAGGGCCTTCAAGTCGTCGGCAACAACCTGCAAAGTACCCACGGCGAGCTCGAAGCGAAAATAACGCGTGGTGTCGGCAACAACTTGTAAAGTACCCATGGTGAGCTAGAAGCGAAAATAACGCGTGGAGTCGGCGCTGTAAGCGAAGAGGAACGCTTCCTCTTGGGTATTGGACTTGGACTTTCTCTTCTTGGACTTGTGACTCTTCGTGGCCGTCTTCGCCTCCTCGACTGCAGATTCGCCCTCTTCTGGGGCGAACAAAGGACGAGGCGACGGCTGACGAGGCTCTCACTAACGGGACGGCAACGACGGAATATGGGTGGAGCTTGACAGACTGCGCGTTGGATTTTCATCTCCGTCGATGACTGCCTCTGCCACGTCATGCTGGACCTCCAGGCCGATAGTGCCTTCGTTAACCAAGGGAAAACCCCAGAACTGCTGGTAAAAACTTATCTTCGCTTCGCGAACCTGGTCTTCAGAGGGATGGGAGGAGACTTCGCCCTTATCGTCTTCGAGGAGAGCGCGGATCTTGGCTAGAGTCGTCGCCTTCTTCAACATGCTGGTGGCTCGTGTGCTGGGGGAGGGACGGTTGCTCAGGAAGGCCTGCCCGGCTCGGTGCACTTTCGTGAATGAGCCTCGGAAAGACAATTTTTCGGTCCTGTTCACTGTCTCTATGGCCTCAGCCACTATTGAGGTGTGCTTGTCCTAACGGTTGTATGAATGCGCGGGCATGTCTAACTACCAGCTTGATGAACGGTCTTAAGAAGGAGAGCGTCCACACACCTGACAAGTTTTGACCACTGGTAGGACCGGTCGTGTCGCTCCCCGACTCTTCTCTGTCCACTTTCAATTGAACCAAACTGCAGCATGGCATCGAAAGCCTCTCGAACGCGAACGTGGGCGAGTACGTTCGATGGAGTCTGTGCCCTGCGTACCTGATGGCATTCGCGCTACTCGTTTGGCGAGTGACGGGCATGCATGGAGACCTCTGGCACCTTAGCGCGTTGTGATACCATCAGACGATCGTCAATCAATACCTACGCGGCTTGGACAGCGCTACCTACGCCTATGCCCTGTGAAACGGTCTCTTTGGGGTCCCTGAACTGGTCCTCCGTGCCCGCCAGGAAGCGTACGGCCGGTACGCTTACGCTTGCGCAATTGATGGACGGCCTATCGCGTCACCAATGGAGAATACCTAACGTCTTTACCATCCGCTCTCTGGGACGTTACGTGTGCGCTTTTGGAGAGGCAATAGCAGCCATGTTGAGTCGGTGTTACGAGTTTGGTGCCGGTGACTTCTTGATCGCTGTCATTCTGTTTTCTCGGAGCCTATTCCAGCCAATGGCCTACAATACGCTGGAATATGTATCGTTCCGTTCCGTAGGGCTGTTCCTATTGCTACTGCTTATCAACACGCAAAATGTTGCGTTCTCGTGGACCGAGCACTGCGCAGTAATCTCACTAACGATAGCGGGAGTAGGACCGGTTTCGCATGATAGCATCTTGGGGGGGGGGGGGGGGGGGACACGACTACGATGGGTAAGGTCACTCCTGTCGCCCTCGCTTCGAAACCGCTCTGTAGTGTCCATCGGAACGCTGACCAGCGGGTTCGAACGGAGCAAGCTAACGCTGAACGCTTGTCAGCGCCCAATTGTGAATTATTCGAAGACTACCAAGCTACTGACGGCGGGACATGTTCTGACAAAGAAGTGCCAGAAGGTGATGAACGTGCCCGTGTTGGTACTAAGAATTCTCCTCCGACTATATCGGGCGACTTCACTGCTGTGGAGGTTTTCATAGCTGACGTTCTGTGTGGCTTCAGGACCCTCTCCTAGCGTCCTGTT